CCTGGCCAGGACAATAGCGTGGCAGCTCTGCGCAGAGCCGCGCAGCTCGGGAACCCCCGGTGGGAGCCTGCGCCAGGTCCCCGCCCCAAGAGATTCCGGGCGTCCCACCCCAAACCAAGGCCAAGCCTCGAGACCGGGTCGTGGGTTCTGCTGATTTGGATTTTGAGTCCAACCTCAGGACTCCGACCCCACCCCCTTCCTCTTTAGACCCACACACCCACCGCCGGGCTTTGTCCTCCCTCCAGGGGTGCCGGCATCTGAAACCCGCTCCCCTCGAAAAAGGAGAATATTCCACTTCAGGTTCCAAGAATACAGGCTCCCAAACTTTCCCCAACCAAGAACACAGCAGTTAAGACCCAGTCCTCTCCTTGCGCAGATCCCGCGCTCTTAGCCCTCAAGGGCCCCACCCTTTCTCCCCGGGACCCGGAGTTCAGTCTTCTTTTTGTGCTTTCCACTGGTCCCAGGTGTCTGGACCTTTAACTCCGGCTCGAAGATCCATGAACCAAAGTCCCCACGCCCCTTTTCTAAGGATGACTAGAATCAGTTACCCAATTCATACCTATCAAGGACAGAGCACCTCAGAAAAAAGGTGTGCCCCAGCCCCCATCCCCAAGGATCAGGAAATTTCCATTTATCTGCCCCTGGTTTGATTCCCAACTCCCTTTCAGGGCTCACTGCTTTGTCTTCTCAGTGTAGAATTCTATTTCCCTTGGCCAACTGGGGCAGCCATGTCCTCTGCGTGCATCTGTGAGGACTTCTATGAGTGTGTCTTGTGGGAACAACCGTACATGTGTGTCTGTTTCATTTGCAAAGTCTATGTGTGTATGTTTGTGTAGATCTATATTAAAAGAGCCTACGGTGCTAAAATAAACAATCGGCAAGGAGCTGAAAGGTGGCCCAGGGTCTTGCTCCTCTAGTCACTCCATAGGCTAGGGCTCCTACAGAAAGGACTCTGGGCCAGAGCCAGTGGGTCTCTTCCTTGAAGGAAAGTAGTAATGCCAGGAGAATCCCCAAGACATGTTTGCCTCTTTGGCTTTTTTAATTGAACATAAATATCCTTATCCCTAGTTTCCCTTTCACCTCCACAGTAGTAGTTCTCACCCTGTCCCCACTCCTTGGGCCCAATTGGTTCAGAGTCTCTAAGGAAGTAGATGCAAGGAATCAAGATGGTGGCCGTCTTGGGTTCTCAGAGAGTGGCTGGCCATCTTGGCAGCACTTTCGCTGGCCAAATGAAAGCCAGGACAAGATGGAGTCTGTTGTCTTTCATCATGACTTACCCTGTACTACCTTCCTTATCTATGCCAGAAGTCATCTTGAAAAACCTTCCCTCAAGAGCTAGAAATGACTTCCATCCCTACCCCTTACTCCTGTTGCTCCCAAACCTCATCTTTGCAAAGGACTGTCCATCACTTTGAATATCTTTTATGCAGGAGAACAGATTAGGCATGGTGACCGTCTTGCTCCTATCTGAGGTGTCCCCTTTGGCTGAGCTGACTATGTATCAATGATCCTGACAATTATAATGTTCTTTCCCTCCTTCACTCAATGTTCAGTTTTGGAGGAATAAGGTTGTCAACTTGTTCTGGCACCTCAGAATCCAGAACAGTCCGTTATGGCAAGTTGAAGATCCCAGGACTCTTCAAATGCAGAGTTGTCACACATGAGTCTGGAGTCGCTGGTGGGTGGGTGTGGGGAAGGCAGCATATGGAAAGGGGGGTGTTCCAGAGGTCAGATCTGGGGTTCCAAAGGATGTGGGTTTGATGTAGCTGGTGAAAGCTCGAGGATGAGGTGTGGTGAGATAACCTGCCCGGGCTCTATACAGTCTGCAGGGGGGCACCATGTCCAGGTGTGGATTGAAGTCATAGAAAGTAGGGGTCCCTGGAAGTCCAAGGGGGGATGAGGGTGGCAGGAAGAGGCCTCCTCCAGGAGCTTCACCAAGGCTCAGGCTCACACTGACCCCTCGAACCTTGTAGTAACCATTGGTTGGGTCCTGAGGGGAAAAAGAGGACTTGGTGAGATATGCAACAGTACCGAGAGGTGAGGATGGAGAGACACAGTGGGAAAAAGCCAGACCTAGAAATTAAAAGACAGAAAAAGGAGCAGGCAGAGACCCAAAGACAGGCAGACGCATAGACTAGCAGAGAGACAAAGTGAGATAGAAAAACAGCCACAGAAGACGAAGGGAAAGGAAATAGGCAGAGATAGAGACGAAAAGAGAACAAGATGGAGACAGAGGGACATAGGCTTGCTCAGGGGAGAGAATGCAGAAGCAAGGAGAGAGAGTCATCCACCTGCCTAACAGCCCTTAGCTTTGATTCCATATCATGCCCTGTGCCACTACTGGAGATGTCTCACGAGGATGTCCCTGTGCAGATCCCAAGCCAAGAACAAAATGACAAATCCTCAAACAGAGCCCACAGGGGTCAGCTCTGTGGCTGAGGAAAGCACAGGCAGTGACAGGTTGTGATGGGGGACCTCTCAGCACAGTGGTCATGCTGTGATGGAGAAGCCCCGCTCAGAGTGGTTGTGGCTGTGATGGGCAAAGCACAGCCAGAAGAGCGCGGCCCTTCGGAGGGAGGCATAGGTTGCCTAGAACAAACAATGTCTGGGTGGAAACTGGAAGAATAAAGGAGGGAATCAGATGGATATGAGAAGAAGAGTGGGAGGGGTCTGGGCCAAGAAAATAGCATGTGCCTAGCGCAGAGGAAAAAGGATTGGAATCAGTGGGGCTCTACTGAGACGGGACCCCAAGAAGAAACAGGTCTGGGGAAAAGCCAGTATGGGACTCTGAGACAGAGCAGGGGCGACCAAGGAGATACATTTAGGAGGCCTGGAACACGACTATAATGGAGCTGGACAAGATGGCCCAGGAGGCAGGAGAGGGGCTAGGTCCTACTCCCAGGGGAGACGGAATGAAAGGGACCCTCCCTTCTCAACACTCACCTTAGTCTCCAGAGCCTCTTTCTCATCCAGAACCAGGTCACTGTGGTCATTGGGTACAGTGGGACCCTGGGGAGGGGACACAGTGAGAAGGAACTATCAGATGATCCTCCTGCCCCAGAGTCAGACCCCAAGGACCGCTGGCCTGGCAGTGCAGGCCAGGTAGGAGGGATGCCTCAGAGCAGCTGGACTGAGGTCTGAACTCAGGAAACAAGAGGGCCCTGGAGATATACTGGGCCTAAGGCATCAGTGGTCAGGGGCACATGTGGACTTGGGGGATATCAGGGTTTGAGGTCACTGTTAGACTAGGGCAATATTTGAGTTTGGGGGTTTAGTTGGACTAGGATATTATTGGGCCTGAGGACCCTGGCGTCTTACTCGATCCTCACTGCTGCCTGTCTCCTCTTCCCCGGGAACTCGTGAACTGGAGCCGTCACTGCTTCCTGGGATTCGCACCAGGTTCTTTTGCCTGGAGAAAGAGGCTAAGGCCCAGACAGAGAGAGGCGGAGGTAAGCAAATGGGTAGGGTCAGTTTGTGGAGACCAATAATCAGGAAGAGAGGGGATGGGCCAATCGCTGGGGAGGCTAGGAACCAAGGAACCCTGTGAATGCGTGTGCGTGCGTGTGTGCGTGTGCGTGTGCGTGTGTGTGTGTGTGTGTGTGTGTGTGTGTGTGTGTTTGTGTGACCTTAAAGAGGCCAAGTTAATACAGAGGAGGGAGCAAGGGCCTGAAAGTTAGCCCAGCCCTATGCAGGACTAGAGACTGTACTGGAGCCAGGCCCCAAGGCCAGCAGTCAGTGGGGCATACGGGGCTGCAGGGCTGGGGTTCATGGGGAGGGGGCAGGCAGGGCTTAGGCACTGACACTTGCCGTGGCGCCAGCAGCAGAGAGCCACCCCAGTGATGATCATGAGAAGAGTCGTGCCTGCAGCTGCTACTCCAGCCACTATCCGCACAGTGGGCAGCAAGTCTGTAGGGAGCAGGAGAATCCTGAGAAGGCTGAGTCACAACTGGAAAGAGACTCTGGGCCCGGGTTTGGTAATCTCTGGGCTCAAAAGTTCACCAAGCTGGGAGATTCCCAAGGTTGATAGTTCTTTAGTTTGTGGTTTAAGGGCCCATGAAATTGAGGCTCCCCAAGGTTGAGAATAAGGAAGTTTAAATTCCCTGATTTTAGGGAGTCTTAGAGCTTGGAAGGGTCTTTTACTTTGCAGCATCCCAAATTTACAGGTTCCTTTCTTTGGGGCCCCCAAACGTTAGGGTTTAGGATTCTGTTTTTGAGAGAATTGTTCTAGGGGGTCGTGGGAATTCAAGAGGCCCATAGTTTTGATGTTCCCTAAGTTTGGGGACTCTGCACTTGAGGGCCTTATAGTTTAGAAGCCTCAATCAGAGGATCCCTGTGTTTGTGGGGTTTGAATCCCACAGATTGGGGTCTGCAGCACAGTGTCTCACCTCTACGGCCTAGGTGAACATGAGCACCTCCCTCACCCAGCCGGTTCCGGGCACTGCAGTTGAAGCCTCTCCTAAAGTCAGACTCCTGGGTCCCCGAAATGTGTAGCACAGAGATCAGGCCTGGACCCTGACCCGCTAGACCCTCTGAGGCTGGGAAAGTCTCCACCAGGAACCTGCCTCTGGACCCCGCCTCCAGGAAGCCCTCCTCCCAAGACCAGACCTAAGGGCAAGAAAGAACGAAAACAGGAAAGTGAGATCATTGAGGAGATGGGAGGGAGGACGAGCTGGCAGGATGCCCAGAAAGTCAGAGAAAGTCACAGCCATTTCAGGGGTCCAATGGGAGGTCAGGGATGATGGCTGAGTGGGTCATGGTA